AGAGGGAATCAGCCCACAGTCTGTTCTGGCCACTCATGTCCCCCCACTTTCCTTTTCATACTTGCCCAGCCCCAAACACACACCAACCCTGAGCTGTAACTCCAAGCTTGACGGGCAGATTGACGAGTCCACTCGACACCAAAGCCCGGGCTCTTCATGCTGGTGGTCCCCAGATAGAATGACCAAGTGTTAAGTTGACCTGGGACTTACCCGGTTTTCTCGCTGAAAGTTTCCTGGCTCTGGACGCCCCACAGTCCTGACAAAGCAGCACAGTTGGGTACTCCCTGCTCTAGAACCACCCAGAAAGCTGTGAAAAAGTTGTGATGCCTGAGGCAGCCCCCAACCCCTGTACTCCCACCCTAGAGCAATTCTGTCAGACTCTCAGGGGGGGTGAAGGGGCAGACACTGTATTTTTTTTTTTTTTTTTTTGAGGAAGATTAGCCCTGAGCTAACATCTGTCACCAATCCTCCTCTTTTTGCTGAGGAAGACTGGCCCTAAGCTAACAGCTGTGTCCCCCTTCCTCTATTTTGTATGTGGGATGCCGCCACAGCATGGCGTGCCAAGTGGCGCATAGGTCTGCACCTGGGATCCGAACCAGTGAACCCTGGGCCACTGAAGCGGACCTCACGAACATAACCGCTGCACCGTAAGGCTGGCCACCAGACGCTACATTTTTTAAAGGCTCCCCGGGAGATTCCAGTGTGCGTCCTGGGTTGAGACGTGCTACACCAGGCATGAGCTGGGAGCTCCTAGCCTGCAGGGACTCAGCCTGATCACCATTTCCCGGACCTTCAGCTCAACCCCCGCACATTGCCACAACGAGGGTCTCGGTCCGGCTGTCCACTAGGATTACCTGGGAAGCCTTTAATAACTACTGATTCAGGAATGCAAAACGGTACAGCCACTTTGGAAAACAGTTTGGCAGTTTCTTAAAAAGCTAAACATGGGGCTGGCCTGGTGGCGTACTGGTTGGGTTCAGCGTGCTCCATTTCGGCGGCCTGGGGTTCACAGGTTCAGATCCCAGGCACGGACCTAGCACTGCTCAACAAGCCATGCTGTGGTGGCATCCCACGTAAAATAGAGGGAGATTTGTACAGATGTTAGCTCAGTGACAATCTTCCTCAAGCAAAAAGAGGAAGATTGGCAAAGGATGTTAGTTCAGGGCCAATCTTCCTCACCAAAAAAAAAAAAAAAAAAAGTTAAACGTACACCTATAATATGATCCAGTCATCCCACTCCTAAGTATTTATGCAAGAGAAATGAAATCATATGTCCACACAAGGATCTGTACATGAATGTTCCCAGCAGCTTTAGTTGTCATAAACAACTGAAAACAACCCAACTGGCCATCAACGGGTGAATGGATAAATGAATTGTGGTCTATCCACACCACGGATTCTTACTCAGCAGTAAAAAGGACTGAACTATTGATAGATGCAACAACACGAGCGAATCTCAAAAAATAATTATACTGAGTGAAAGACATCAGATCAAAAAAATAGTCCATACTGTATGGCTCCATTTATGTAAAAGTCTAGAAAACGTAAATTAATCTAGAGTTACAGACAGCTGGTCAGTAGTTGCCTGGCAATGGAGGGCAGGGTTAAGGACGGGAGAAAGGGAAGAACTAGAAAGAGGCACAGGGAAACTTCTGGGGTGATAGGTATGCTCCTTATCTCGACTGTAGTGATTTATGGATACATACAAACATCTGAACTTATCAACGGGCACGCCTTAAATATGTGCGGCTTCCTAAATATTAATTATACCTCAACAATGCTGTTCAAAACAACACCAATAAAACTACAGATCTTCAGGCCCCATCCCAAGAGATTCAGTTTCACGGGACCCAAGGCTCAGGACTTTCTAAAGGACCCCGGGTGGTCCTACGGTGCAGTCCTGGCTGAGGACCACCGCATTAATGCCTTCCACCTGGAGTTACTCTCCCACCCACTAAACGGATTAGTAATAATAAGGAGGTGGAGGACAAGGAGTCAAAGACAAAGGAGAGATGTTAGGATGATGATATTGATGATGATAAGCAATTAAGCCCAAACGGGCTTATTAAGAGACGGCATCAGCAGAGAATAGCTCACTCCACTAGGTGGCATCTGGACATTTCTCTTTAGCACGATTTCCAGGGAAATTGAGCGGTGGGGCCACAGCTGCCGGAGGTCTGCGGTGAGAGGGATCCCTGAGCAGACAAAGGCACCCAGGCTTGTTGGGACAGAAAGCAATCAGCAACCCGGGAAGATGTCTGCAGCAACTGATGCGCTCGCCTCAGCCTGACTCACAGGGAGAGCAAATTAGATTGTTGCAGTTTCAGTGTCTTTCGAGGTTTCAGTGCCATTTGGGGTTCGAAGAGCAGAGCTATTGATTCAGGAGCTAATTCTGGAGAGGAAGTAAATGAGGTTCCCAAGGAGAGGACCAAATGTCTTGAGTTAGAGCGCTGGGCAGAAGTCACTGTCTTTGGGACACCAACACGCAGTCTGCTCTCCCTCCACGAAGGGACGTTCCTCACATTTTTGACTTTGCTTTTCCCAGGCCATGCTGGCCTTGGGCCAGTCAGCCAAAGGACACCACAAGCAGCCCCCTCTGCTTGCTGTGACTCAAGTCCTCTTCTTCTGCTGCCCATAGCCATTGTCCCCTCTGCGGAGGTCCCTCTCCGTTCTAGTGCCCCTGCCGTTGTCTGGCCTCTGCTGTCCTGAGCCAGAGTCACCTTCCTAAGTGATCACACATCTTTGGTCAACCTTGATGGGTCAAGAATTTAGGTGGTCATAATGTGGAGAGGGGGCACATAATTTAGGCTTCGCTCTTTGTGTTTCACTGTCCCTTCCACCAGGGAACATAAAGCAAGTCCCCAAAAGATGGATCAAAATACACTGAAGAATAACAACCCACGTAGTTTTCAAATTCTCCCAAGAACCCACCAGAAACCAGGGGTCCAAATGGGCCCTCGGGTCAACAGGCCCGGAAGTAATGCATCTGCTCTGGCAGCTTAGTTGCACCAGGGCTCCCGGCCTCCAGTTAATTCTGTCACTAGGATCACTCGGCCACGCCTCTGTGCGAAAAGTACACTTAAAGCAGCTTCAGTAAAGGGACCCTGTCATTCTACGTGAATCCCAATGTAGTGCTCTCTTAGATCTGTTCCGCATACAGAGATTCCACGTGCAATTTCTTTCAAGGATTCTGCTGCCTGAAGTCAGAAGATTCGGTCCCCGTCATGCCCCCAGCCCCTCGGCTACCTTCTTCTGCTTCCGGTTTGGTTCAGTTTTCTGATATTGACTTTCTGGCTCCTCTTTCCAACCCTCTATCTTTCAGTTACTTAAAAATTACTGTTAATAAATCATAATCCATGAGCACCTGTGTATACACTGCTCAGGTAAAGAAAGGCACATCACCGTCACACTCGGAATTCCCAGGATATTCCTCCACGAACCCACTCTCTTTCCTTCCACCTGCAAGGTAAACACTAGGCTGAATTGGGTGTGTATCATTCCCTTGCATTTCTTTTTCTTTTCTTTTTTTTTTTTTTTGAGGAAGATTAGCCCTGAGCCAACTGCTGCCAATCCTCCTCTTTTTGCTGAGGAAGACTGGCCCTGAGCTAACATCCGTGCCCATCTTCCTCTACTTTATATGTGGAATGCCTACCACAGCATGGCTTGCCAAGAGGTGCCATGTCTGCACCCAGAATCCAACCAGCGAACCCCAGGCCACCGAACTGGAACGTGCGCACTTAACCGCTGAGCCACCAGGCCGGCCCCTCTCTTGCATTTCTTATTCTATTTCTTACACACATTTGAACCTGTCAACAATATATTCTTAGTTCTGTATGTTTTTTAACTTTCTATAAATTGATTCCTACAGTACATAGTCTCTTAAGACAATGTTTTTGAGAGTCACGCATCTTGTTGCAAGTAGCTACAATGCATTGTTGCGATGCTTTATAGCATTCCACTGTGTATCTGGTGTAATATACAGTTTTTAAAAATCTGTTCTACTCCTGAAGACATCTGGGCTTGAAGTGTTCAGTGTTTTCTGTTATGAACAGCGCTGGGTGAAGATTCTCATTTACATGTCCTGGTACACAGGGAGTGGAAGTTCTGGGTCACAGTGTAGAAACGTGTGTCAATTACTGAGATAACTCCAACCCATTTTCTAAAGGAGACGTTCCAATTTACGCTCCCATCTCACTGACTGTTTTGTTGCACTCTATCCTTGTCAGCGCTTGATATTGTCCTACTTCGTAGTTTTCACCAGTCTGGCAGATGTAAAATGGTATTTTCTGGTGGTTTTAATTTGCTCACAGTATTGGTGAAGAGGCTGAGCATATTGTCACGTGGCCACTTGTCCTTCCTCTTCCTAAAGTGCCTGTTCTGGGCTAACTCCCCAGTGAAGGGTAAGGGCACAGGTTCAGAGCCTGGCCCCCGTGGACAGAAGTCCCAGCCTTAGCGGTTAGTTTCTCAGGTACTGGGAGGACTGAGTCCAGGCCCTCCTGGCCACCTGCACCCCACGTTACTCAGTGACTCTCCCTCAAGACCACTGTCAGGGGGGTCTCTGTCTCCTGAGACCAGCTCCAGGCAAACAGGGATGCTGGGGCTCAGGACCCAGGCGCTTCAGGACCCACAATCCGGTAGAGCCCACGGGCCAGCTGCTGCCCGACGGCCAGCGCCGTGCAGCTGGCCGCTGACACCCAAGATGCTGCTTAGGACTCTCCATCGAACACCCCCGGAACTACACAAGCTCCTTCTGTTAATAGTTCATTCTCATGCATTGGATCGACAAGTTCTGAGCCAGGTGCTGGAGACAGAAAAGGGAAAACACACTCAGGCCCAGGCCCCAGCCGGGACCGGCGCGGGGAGCTCGGCCAGGGCACGGCGGGCGGGGGAGCACCTGGCACGGCGGGCGCGGGGAGCTGGGCCAGGGCACAGCGGGCGGGGGCGCACCTGGCACGGCGGGCGCGGGGAGCTCGGCCCGGGCACGGCCGGTGGGGGCGCACCTGGACCGCGCGCTCTGGTCACCTAGCAACGGCGCAACGCGCAACGATGGAGGCCGGCGGCAGCCGGGAGCGCGAGGCCAGGAATTACCTGGAAAAACATCGGATCATGGAGTTGCTAAAGTATCTCACCAGCGTCCTCCTCTTCATCCGGCCGGGTAAGCGTGTAGCCTGGCGCTCGGCTTTCTGTCCCACCTGCCTGCCAAGCGGTCCCCAGAAATTCCCAGGACGGCCATCCGTCCAGCCCACTCCTTGGCGGGGCCAGCGTCCCTCGGGGATGCCCCCACCTCCGTACGCACACCCTCTCTCTCCTGCCCCTCGGCGGCTGAGCCTTCTGCTGCCGGTGTGCTCTGTGCCCTTCGTTAGACACGCGCCAGGGCCCGCGGGACTCGGGCAGGTGGAGGGCTCCTGGGGGGCCGGAGAGAGGCTCCTGGGGGCGGGGGAGAGGCTCCGGTCCGGCAGCCAGGCTCCTGCCTCCATCCCTTAGTGCTGTGTGTCTGTGGGCAAGAACCTGACCTGCAGTCTCCTCTTCTGGAAAACGGGGATAATCATAGTAGCGATCTCATGGGAACTAAAGGAATAATGTGGAAATCATCCTTACGTCTCGCAAGCAACGGATGTTTCCAATGTTGTCCCTGCCCCCAGAGAGGGTTTAATCTGTTAAAAACAATTGATAGGGTGAGACAGCAGGATGTTCTTGAGGAGACAGCTTTCCCTGACACCTTACAAAATTTGATTCATGTCGTAATTTTTGTGTGGTACGTAAATTAAAAAGCCGTCTTAGGGTGAAAATGGCTTGATGTCCTTCTCCCCAGGATGCAGAATTGTAACTTGCCATCCTCCATATGGAGTGACAGCACGCAAACACACACACCTGCTCCCACTCACCCTGGTCTTCCCGATAAAGTTAGAACACAATGTTGGTCTGACCAGTATTCAGAATTTACATTGTTATTATTAGGCAAACATGCACAGCTAATCCATATAGTACGCAATGATTGTATTTCCTTTTTTGTTTGCCCTGAAGTTAATAATACTACATTTTAAACGTTTGCTTAAATTTCCTGTGTAATTATCACCAATTTGTCCATATCCCCTTTTTGTCACAAGCGTAGATCTCCTCTCGTTCATTTACGTTCATCAGGAAAACACTGCCCCAGCCCCCTAGCTCTGTCTTCCTGCTCCAGTCTGAGCTGATCGCTTAACTGCCCTGCTGTACAGTTATTACTCAGGAACTCCTCTCACTGGGAGCCTAAGAACCATCTTTGCCTCTCTTCTGTGCTTAGAGACTGTTTTATGGCACTTGGATTTCCCTTTCTTGCTTTCCCGCCTTCTTCTAGTGGCTTCCTCAGACAGTGTGCTTTGAGCAGTAAGTATTTTGAGGACTCAAGTGTGTGAAAGTGTCTTCTCCTCCACTCAAACATCTAGAGTGGATTCTGTTCTAGGTGGGAAAATATGGCCCTCAGCATTTAGAGAGCATTTCTCCGTTGTCTTCTAACTTCCGGTGTTGCTCTGAAGAAGTCTGATATCATCAGATTCTTGATCTGTATATAAGACATGTTTTTTTCTTTCTGGAAGTTTTTAGGATTGTCCTTTTATCTTATCCCTGGTGTTCTAAATGTTTATATGACTTGAAGTGGGTTTTTGTTATTTGTCTGTTTTTTAAAAAATTCATTATGCTAGGTACTTGTGGGGTTTTTTAAATTTGTAGACTTTTTTGTCTCCCACTCCCTTCCTGGCCTTTTTCTCTCAAACTCTTTATTATGTCAGCCAATTTAGTGTAATGAGGATTCTTTTTTTTCCTTCAACACGAAAAACTTTGACCCCATCTGACAAAAACAGAATTCTCCTGTAGAAGGTCTGGTGGGGAAAAGAGAATCTAAGCAGATAAAGACAAATTCTCTGAGCAGCAGGGGATAAGGACTGAAGTCTAGGAATAGTTACACATTAGTAACATAATCTCCATCCCATAAATGATTTAAATAATTATCAATTAAAAAAATTGAGATGCTGCTACCACATGTAACAATGTGAACTCCTTGAAACATCTTTAAACTCCAAAAGGGGGGGAGGAAAACCACAGGTGAGGAAACACTGAGCTAAGATAAGGGGGTGGAGAAGCTACAGAAGGGTTTGGCTGGCATCCAGAGTTCATAGGCCATGCTTCTCAATGGTTCCCATCTGAGTCCTCCTAATGGCAGAGGAAAGGCGACTTGTAACCTTTAGCATCCGAGACCGTCGCCTGATGCTGCATAGTAAGTTTCTTTGAAATTAGTTGTTTTATCCTAAAAGTGTATAGTTTTGCTCTTCTACAGATGTATCCATTTCTTCATATAAATGTTTCATGCTATGTTTCAGAGTATGGTCGATGCTCAGGAAGAAACACTATCTTTATCTTGGGTCTTTGGCGAGGATGTGGAGAGAAGGGAACCCTGTGCACTGTTGGTGGGAATGTAAATTGGTGCAGCCACTATGGAAAACAGTATGGAGGTTCCTTAAAAAATTAAAAATAGAACTACCCTATGATCTAGCAACTCCACTTCTGGATCTATATGCAAAGGAAATGGAAACAAGATATTGTGAGATACCTGGACTCCCATGTTCATTGCAGCATTATTCACAATAGCCAAGATATGGAAACAAGCTAATTGTCCGTCAACAGATGAATACATAAAGAAGATATGGGATATATATACAATGGGAATATTATTCAGCCATGAGAAAAAAGGAAACCCCGCCATTTGCAACAATATGGATGAACCTTGAGGACATTATGCTAAGAGAGAAAAGTCAGAGAAAGACAAACACTGCATGATCTCACTTATATGTGGAATCTAAGAAAGCCAAACTCGTAAAAACAGAGTGTAGAATGATGGTTATCAGGGGCTGGAGGGGGGCAAATAGGAGAGATGTTTAAGAGTACAAACTTGCAACTAGTAGATGAGTCCTGGAGATCTAAGGCACAGCACAGTGATTGTAGACAATACTGTATTATATAGAAACATCAGACTTGCTGACACTAGATCTTAATTATTCCCACCACAGAAGAGAAATAATTATGTGACACAATAGAAGTATTAGCTAACACTACAATGACAATCAGATTGCAACATATAAATGTATCAAATCAACATGTTGTACGCCTTAAACTTACACAATGTTACATGTCAATTACATCTCAACAAAAAAGGAAAAAGGAACCCTTACCTTTTAGAGATACACACGCAAATATTTATTAATGACATACGATCGCTGGGATCTACTTCAAAATAATACAGGAAGAGGGGGACTGCACGGGGTTATGGAGAAATAAGACTGGCCACAAATTCTAACAGTTGAAGTTGGTGATGGGTTTATTATACCCTTCTGCCTACTTATATATATGTATGAAACGTTCAGTAATGCCATAAGTTTTAAAAAAAGAATTTAACAAATGTATAGAGTAAATCCTAGGATTGAAAGAAAATGATGGAACAGTAGGTGCAGCATTCCCCATCTAAGCTGCTCCCTCTTTACTTCTGTCCTCTTTTCATGACAACTGACCTGCATTATTGCTGGAAAGTGGATTGATCTTGATTTTTTTCATCTTTCACATTGCTTAAATGAAAGACAGCTTATTTATCCAAAATACTGCTTGTATGTTAGAAATTAACTTACGCTTCCTAATCAGAAGACGATATTAATCTGACAGTCTGTTTTTATTTATACTTTATCCCTTTGTTAGCCAACCACCTTGTTTCCTACATCATGCTGTTCCTTTTTTGTCCTTCTGTTTTCAACTGTCTGCAAATTAAAATCACCTGAAAAGCTCTAAAAAAAAAAAGGCCCAGGTCTAATTGCTGGACTTTTTTATTCAAGCGCCCGGGGTAGAGCACTTATGTCTGCGATTAATTGCCCCATGTCTTACCTTTCCTGCAAGCAAGGCCTATAACCCCAGTGCCTACTACAGTACCTTGAACATAGGTATTTAATAATTGTTAAATGACTGTTTCCACTTGTGACATATTTTAATTTCAGGTCAGAAAAAATTGGAACTATTTTTTTTTTTTTTTTACAGAAAAACCAAGAGAGTATTTAATAGCTATCTTGGAAAAACTGAGAATTGCCAAAGCAACAGGTGTGGCTTTCCCTTTCTTTATGGATCACTCGAACATCACGGCTATGTTTGACATGATGGACTCCTCGAAGAAAGGCACCATATCATTTGTGCAGTACAAAGAAGGTCAGTATCTTCTGCCAACGGAGGTCATAGCTCGTGACCATTCCATAACTCACTCTAGCTGAAAATAATTCTCACTTTGTAAATTTTCCTTTCTTCTTATTCTGACTTTTCATTCTGGCTTTCCTAGCCCTAAAAACCCTGGGTCTGTGTCCTGCGGATGAAGTTTTAAAAGATGATGGGCATGCAATAACTTTGGATAAGTTCAAGAGTGAAGTGTAAGTTTATTTTTAAGTGACTAATATTTAAATAATATGGCATGATTTTGAAGGACAAGTAACACGTTTTAAAACAGAGGTTCCTACCTTTTGATGGAAACGTTTCATTCCCTTGAAACTTTCAGCTGACTAGAAAGTGAGGACAGAGGGCGGAGAGTGAAGCCTGGGTGAAGGGGAGGCGGGTGGGGAAGAGAAGAGGCGGGGAGGAGGAAGATGCCTGAGCCAGGAAACTCCAGAGGCGGCTTCATTCTTTCCTCAGTGGGAAACCCCAGCGATTCTCAAAGAATGAGGGAGAGGAGCCCCAATCTGCTAGAACTAACAGAAAAGCTTTGAGCTCAATACGCTAGTTGGAAAATCTCTGTATAAAACTTAGTAATAGAATTTCTCTCAACATATTTCCTCCGAATCGTTTATCACAAAGCAAATGTCTATCAATAGTATAGGTGGCACGCCAGCCTGATGATTTTAGATTTAAGATATTACAGCACGAAAAGTACTAACTAAATGCTAAATCAGAAAAAAAAAGTCACTGGAATAAAATTTGATAATGGTAGAAAGCCTCCAGCTAATCTAGCTCCATCTGTTTAAAAGTTTTGCTCTCTGAGGATTTATTAATCAAGGAGCCGTTATTTAACGTGATCCAAGGCCACGGAAAAGTGAGAAGAAAAAAGAAAGTTTAGGATTCCCATCTCATCATCAGTTACATAAATATTAAATAAAAAATGTTTAATTACATTCTCTACCCCAGGAAAAGAATGAGGCCCAGGGCTCTGGCCTGAAACGTTTCATCCAAAACAAAGGATACCACTGTCATATGGAATGGAACTAGGAAGTATTTTGAATGGAAGGACACTTGTGGAAAATGAGCGCCATCCTATTTAATTTCCAAACTAGACACAGGAACTTCACTCACAACCATGCATTCTAAAGTGATTTTTTTTTTAATTTATTTGCTGTGTTTGATTATCCACAAAAGTCTCCCTTAATTAGCATAGGAAATTGAAAGTTGGTTATAAGTTATTATCTCTACTCTTGTATTTTATTCAACAGACATATCAGCATTTTTATTTGTAAATGGAATTACTCTGAGTTTTTGCGGCTTCTGAGTCTTCTGTTTTTGTTTTCTTAGGAACAAGAGGACTCAGGAAATATGGTCAGCATTTTAATAACACCATAAGTCCAAGGAATAAATGATTCTACTGAGTTTTCAGTTGTCCAGTTTCATTAATTCAGAACTTCAGGGGCTGGCCCCATGGCCGAGTGGTTAAGTTTGTGCGCTCTGCTCCAGTGGCCCAGGGTTTCACCAGTTCGGATCCTGGGCACGGACCTAGCATGGCTCATCAAGCCATGCTGAGGTGGTGTGCCACACAGCATAATAGAACGACCTACAACCAGAATATACAACTATGGACTGGGGGCTTTGGGGAGAAGAAAAAGAAGAAAAAAAGAAGACTGGCAACAGATGTTAGCTCAGGGCCAATTTAAAAAAAAAAAACTTCATCATATAACTTGAAATCTAATTGGCTTCCTCTTTGTTAAAAAAAAAAAGATGCATTATTTTCCAGTGTTCGGCCAGTTTGTCCTCAAATTGAGTAGAATCTCCACATCTTGCTGGGCCAGTTTGTAAATCCCAACTTCATTTAACGCAGCCGTGGCAGGAGGCTGCCCCGAAGCTGACTGCAGGACATCTTTCAGGAGCAGGGCAGATCCCACGTTCAAGTTCAACACGATGCAGGCTTCTTTCACACTGTTGGGGGAGAAGGAAGGGCAAGAGCGAAATGAGGTGTCCATTATCTATCATCCATATTATTCCCTAAGAATTTCATTTGGAGACACTAACAGCTTCCCTGCACAGCCAGCCCATGTCCTCTCTCTGTAAAACCATATCAACTATTTGTGGATTTATCGTTTGGCTCTTTTAACATGTTAGGACTATGTGTGTGTAAAGAGTTTATATTTCACTAGATTACTATCATGTAATAGGATCATTGTTTTCAATGGTATCCGTTACTTCTCAAAATATAATACTTGATACTGTCTATTCAATATAGCTAAAACTTGAGGTTGACTGGGACATGGGAAAAGAGAAAACTGAGGGATAAAATGAAAGTAGCAGAAAGGCGGAACACTCAATCAAAAACACAGAAATAGACATCTTACTGAAACGAGCAAAAATAATCTTTCATTTTATAATAATTTTAAAAGGAATACTTTATAATCTCAGAGGCTCCCCAAATAATTTAAATTTTAAATCAACAATTTCTAAAAATACTTCTAAGAATTTTTCTTACATATATTAATAGTTATGTTTAAAACCAAAACTAATACTAAGAGTTTAATAAAGCATTTTCTTCAGTCCTGGCCTATTAGGTACTAAACGTATTTTTAATTTCTTCTGTTTATTGGATCTGGCAGAACTAAACTTGCTTTCATTTTCTATTTATCTCCCCAGTAATAAGCAAATAGGAGCATTAAACTAAATGCTAGAAAACAAAGCCCAACAGATAATTTGTATCCAGTTCTGAGAAACTTTTTGGGGCCATGGGTCCCATATTATTTTGGTACACAGTGAATGTTTTAAAATTCTAATTGATGCCATATTTATTCCACCAAGCACCCCAGGAACCCTAACGCTGTTAAAAAGAGCATCAGCCGCCTCTAACAATTTCACACGTCAATACGAATTGTTAAATATTGAGCTTACTGTTTAAAATAATTTTCCGGTCTCTTGCAATAGTGGGAGAACAAAGGGAAAAGGTTCCGGGTCATGTCAAACTGCAGCTGAGCAGCCCCGCCTTCATTGAAGTGATTGGCAAGAATGATCTGAAACGAAGAAGAGTTCATCCGACAGCTGCCTTTACCGCCACAGCCCGTAAACGCGGTCTACTCTTACTCACCTCCTGGTAGATGTGTACGTCCAGCTTCTCTACAAGCATTTGCCAGAAAATCTTAAATAAGGAGAAGCAAAGCTGCTGCTCCAGCTGCAGTAACCGGTCTCGCAGCGTCAGCAGCAACGGGCAGGCCGAGCTGGACAGGGACATCACTGCCTGCTCTGACTGCGACGGCAAGGACAGCCATCTGGAGAGAACGAAACAGCACTGCCTGTAGCACCGTCATTGCCACTAGAACATTTTTCATCACTTAATTTAACAAATCACGTTAAATTTGAGCAAGTGTCCTGTCCTGGGGCATTTGGAGAAGAAAACATGTACAGCTCAACATTAAAAGCGCTCTCAGAAAATAAATATAACCATATTTATACTTTAGCTCTCAATTAAATATCCTCTATTTAATGAGGATGACAGACTAAATTTGTTTTAAGTCTCAAGATTTTAATATAGCTACAATTAAAAACCAGTTAAAATATAAACTGTATTAGCCTTTAAGACATCAGCTAATTTTATGCTCTAATTTTCAGCAAAACAGGGACTAATAATACTTCCAAACTGATGATAAGGAATCTGTGTGACAGGGACTGTGCCAGGACAGACACACACTGCCTGCTCCAAAAGAGCTCCCGGTCTGGCGGAGGTCACAGAGACTGCCACAGGGCATCATGGGGTGGAAGAGACTGCCCAATGTAGGCATGCAGAGTCGGCCAGGAGCACCTTACTTTGTAAATGGGTGACAGGCTAGGCCGTTCAACCCCATGTCATACGCCAGCTCTCTGTATATACAGACACACCTGAAGGTTAAATTATGATCAGTTTATTCCGATTAAGAATGTCTGAATATATTTTAGAAAGACTTCCATCAAAAACAGTTACAAGCTTGCACCGGGGAAGGCCAAACTCAGCCATGTCAACCCCGTGGAAATGTGCCTGCAGGTGCCATCTTCTCAGTTTCCCCAAACTGGAGTTGACAGCTGACTTGTAAGAAAATACAGAGGACTCACCTTTCTTTTTTATACAATTTTGCAGCATCTTTAACTTCTCTAAAAACATGGTCTACCTGGCGGGTCAACATGTCGTGCTTCAGACGCTCTAACAGGTTGACCATGTCATCAAAGACGGAGCTCTCCATGGCGGCCAGCTGTCCCAGCTGCAGTTTGCTGAGAGCGCTGTTCTCCGCGAAGACCTCCAACGCCGCCTGCTGAAGCTGAAGAAAGAACTGGAAGCAACAGGACGTCAACACGTTTAAAGCATACAATTCACTCCAGTACAGTATACATAAGTTCACTCAGTTAAAAGCTTTTAGTGTATTCAGAGTTGTGCATCGATCACCAATTTTAGAACGTTCTCCTGACCCCAGAAAGAAACCCTGCGCTCTTCACCACCGTCTCGCCGCTCGCCCCAGCCCCAGGCAGCCACTATCTACTTTCTGTCTGTACGGGTTTGCCTGTTCTAGACACTTCATATCAACAGAGTCACACAGTTCGCGGTTCTTTGTGACTAGCTCCTTTCACTTAGTGTGTTCTCAAGGTTCCTCTCTGTTGTAACGTGTATCCGTACTTCACTTCTTTTTATTGCCAGATAGTATTTCCTTATATGGATTTGTATGTTTTACATATCCATTCGTCAGTGGATAGACGTTTGGGTTGTTTCCACTTTTTGTCTATCATGAAGAACGCTGCTATGACCATTTGTGTGTAAGTTTTTGTGTGGAGGTGTGTGTTCATTTCTCTTAGGTATACAGCTAAGAGTGGAATTGCTGGGCCATATGGTAATTCTATGTCTAACCCTTTGAGAACTGCTAAACTCTTTTCCACAGCACGGCGCCATCTTACATTCCCACTAGCCGTGCGTGGGGATTCAATTTCTCCATGTCCTTGCTAACAATTCCTGTGTCTTTCTTACAGCCATCCTAGTTTGTAGGAAGTGGTGTACCATTGTGGTTGGATTTGCATTTCCCTGATGGCTAACATACTTCAAGTACTCAGTTTTTCTAGACGGATTGAGAGGTGTGGGAAATCTAGCAGACATGAGTTAAGAAAATTGAAATGTCACTTTTATAGTGTATTTTAGGTAGAATTAGTATTATTCTTTCTGCCCTACAGGAAAACAATGCGGTGGATAATTAGCAAAAGATTAAATACAACCTAAATGTCCATTAATAGAGAACTGGTCTGGCCACACTAGGAGCTGTTCAGGGATGGACATGGCAGAGGCCACCGTGGTTTCTGCTCGAACTATCATGGAAGAGGGACTGTCCTTTTGAGACAGCTGATGGACTATGTGGCCTGGAGCTACTGATGGCCACACTTCCCAGAGCCTGCCTGAGAAAGAAGCCAGAAACGAACGACTTCAGAGCAGCCGGGCCTAACCCTCTCAGTTACACAAGTCCCTCACTTCCTCACGCCACCGCACTTCCCACTTAGGCCAGGAGTCGGGTTTCTATCATCCACAGTGAACAATCCCCAATTCTGCACGGATGGACATGTGAGGCTTGGCGCAATCTGCAATGGACAGACAGCTATGAGCAGAGAATCTAAATGAATGGAAGGAGACCTCTGTCCACTCTTCCCGTTTCTAACCATGTAACAGAAGAGCCTTACTGATTTTCATGTAAATTATTCACACACAGAAGGACTGTGAAGATGACTAAAGGACTTCTGATGTTAAATAGAATTTGTATCATAACAACAAACTAGCATACAGAATTCACTCATGATTTGAAGATTCTAAAATCTGACATCTCTGTTGACAGACGGACCCAGTTAATTCAGCATCACATTAAAAATTTTCTAAGGCTAGGGACGATGCCCAATTCATCTTTGTTAACAGATTACAGCATTGAGTAAAGTAGCTAATGATGTTCCACAAATATTTCGTTCAAGCTAAAAGGCTGGCCCTGAATGAGTTTTTTATTCGATCATCTGGCACAAGAATCAAGAATGACTATTTGTTCCATACAACTGAAAAAGCTTAGCAGAGAATGGAGCCGTGTGGGGGCTGAGTCAAGTACTTACTAAAATTAGGAACAAGACACACAAAAG